ACACACAAACAGCAACTAGAGGATATACATCGGTTGTGGATATCGGCCCAATTTTACTCATCGGACCGATGCCGATATTAATGCCGATATATCGTGCATCCCTACTAGCATCATACTGAGCAAAACAAAAGGCAAAGAGAAGTTTCTCTACATTTTTATATCGTCGTCGTTCGCTGCCAAACAACATATGAAGAAAACTTCTTATCACGGGATTATTTAGAACAACTAGAAAAAATGACATGTATATATGAATGATTATATATTAAAGTATATTTTCTGACTTAATGTCGTGAGGAGAATAAAAGCAAAGGATAAAGAAATAAAAGTCTTTATAAATACACAGAGACATCCTTTGTATCCCGTTTGAATCAGACTTTCTATTCCTTGTGTGCTGTGTGTTTAAAGCCCACTGAATATTCAAATATCGTTTTAAACGTGGTAATAAAAACCAGAACAAAAACGCGACCCCCGTACGATCTGACCTCCTGCTGCTTATTCCTCAGGTGAAGGAGTTTGACACCATTTCACGGTTGGACCAGTGGCTCACCACGATGCTGCTCCGCATCAAGAAAACCATACAGGACGAGGAGAGCGACCTGCGCTGACTCCCCTCCCCGCTTCCCCTCATCAAGCCCTCGACGGCCGACTTGCATCCTTCTTTTTGCCTTGAAGCAATCTTAACCTTTTTGACCATTAGGCCTCATATTCCTGCACAGATTCTGTGTTTTCTTTCCTGCCGTCTGCAGTATTCTTCATGTTTCTCGCCTTTTTAATCTTCTCCAAAAAATAATTATGGTCTTTATAGGTATGAACACTATTTTCCTGAGTGCACACTGCACGTAGTATGTTAGTTGTATATTGTTATGATACAGGTATTGGTCCAGTTCTAGTTGAAACATTCATAATTGGCCCCAATACCAAATATTCATACCAGCACACTTGTATACAAAGGTTTTATTTTTTCTTGTTATAAAACGGATGAGAGGAAGCCAATTTACTAACATCTATAAAAATCTATTTTCCAGAATCTGCTTCAAATAAACTGAACCAAAATGTCAGTCGAGGCCGAAGCACTCGCGTAGATTTTTGGTACTTTTGAGTGCTCGAGTATACTGTAGGTCATATCAGGGCGCCGGTAATTAAACAGCACATCATCTCAGCCGCGGAGCGAAGAGTTTCTGAGGTCTTTCAACGGGAAATACCCCCTCTGCCTTACACTGCGAAGTTCTCAGGATGTGAACTGCTAGATTTGACGGGGATAAAGAAAAAAAAAATCATGCTTTTTAGAAGCATTATCAAATTAATTTGCTAATTGTTTTTTTTTTTTGTCATTTCCATTTAAAGTGCTTTTATTCCACGAGAAGAAGGTGAAAGAAGCCCACCACCTTTATAAACAGTTGCATGGTTTGTTAAGGATGAGAAAACTACAGCAGCAGTTTTTTCACTGTATAGGAGTTTATTTCTCAAGTGTTTTTTGTTTTTTTGTGATTGTCAGATTTTTGTTGTTTTTCTGTCATAACTAACCAGGCTGGAAAAAAAAAAGTGCATTTTTAAAATAAAATAAAATAAATAAGGCCTGCAAGAGATGCAATACATTGAGGAAAAAAAGGAGCTTTATTGATCTGAACACTGTGCTCATGTACCCTCCTAATAATGTCTTAAATAATTTGTATATCTTTGATGTTTCCTGTCAAACATTTGAATAAACGTGTCTGAGACGCACAGCATCCTGGGCGTGGCCTCCTCCTGCCTCCTCCCGCCTCCTGAGCCCATTTACAGACTGTTACTGAATGAACTCACATCGGCTGCTCCCATTTCCCCTTTAAGAAAAATATGAGGTTAACAAACTAAATGATGCGGTTTCCTGCAGCCTGTCGCCGGTCGGTCGGATCAGTAGTCAGTGTGCTGGAGACCGCTGCAGCCTCTGCTCGGTGTGCGCTCATCCCGGGTTCAGTAAGTGTTTCATCTTTAATGATAAATTAACTCTGTCACAGGTTTGAACCCGTTAGTCTCCAGGTTAAAGGTCTCACCTGGCTCTGCGTCCTCGTTTGCATAGTTGATCAGGTTGATAGATATTTAGTTATACTTTAATGGGATAAACATACACGTAACTATAACGTGACAAAGATAAGATGTTTATTGAA